CGCACACAGATTCATTTAATTTGATTAAGTTAGTGATTATCTGATTTTACCACACCGGGTGTGGTTTTGTGATATAGGATATAGTGACACTTGGGAGTTTTACAGAGCAGAACCTTGACGGTAGTCTTGAATACGGACAGCGTTTTATAGAGAGAACAGCGAGTTTCGAGATTTAGAGCCTAACGGAATATTGAGCCTTGTAACACAGAAGGATTCAGCCAATAAATTCTTTACACCTTTCTTAAAGCCGTTTCGTCGACAAATGTTTAGAGGAAATACAAGCAGATGGGTCTATCTCTCAAATAAAAAAGTCTTTCAAGAGATTTATGTGCGGCTGAATTTTCAACTATTGGTAAGAAACTATTTTGTGCGCTACCCATAGAATTTCACAAGGGCTGATATTGTTGTTATGATCTACAAATAAGATTGAATCACATTAATTGTTCTATCATTATCAAGTACAAGACACTCCAGAATATTTTATAATAAAAGAACTTTAATCAGTCTGTTCTGAAAAAAGTCAAAGATATGGCACTTGTAATTTGTGGATACCAGAGAGACCAGTAATTACTAAAAAAGTTCAACAATTTGCTAGCTGAGATTCCTCCCGAGAATGCAGAACTACATTCAAATACCAAAAACTCGGACCAACCAAACAAAGAACCAGAAATAAAGGTCCCGTGACATGTTTACGCTGGGGACTAGGTTATATTCAAAACCAATAGAAATATCAAATTTTACGCTACAATTTCTATTAGATTTCACTCTACTTAAAACATGTAAGGAAACACCGAGATGCACTCATTCCAATACGCATTTACAACAGTTCCTGAACGGGATTCAGAATGATCTATCTAATTTTGCTACCTTTTAAAGCAGATTCCTTTTGCTAAAGATGAGGCTAAGGCTAGATATCGTATGATCGGTTATATTTTCCACCGAACATTTCATGTGTTCGTCAAGTCAGAAGAGCCTCATTTAATATTTCAACGGAAAAACACTAAAATCAAAAATAATTTCATCATGATAAACATTTTAAAAAACTTTTCTGTAAGGGACAGAGTTGCTGTTTTCTGTCCCTTGATATACTTTATTTCAATTCAGCTTCTATTTCGCTTGGGCTTCCACCTTACAAAGGACTTCTCCAGCTTGAATGATTCTTCCTCCTCCATCTAATAGGGCAGGCCACAAGTAACAAGCAATTTCATCCACAACCGACGCTTGTCCATTTGAAGGAGGCCTTGAACACACTTCTGGAACATTGTGATATCCAACTTTCTTGTGCAAATTTTTCAAAGTGGTACTTTTATACTCCAGTTGCATGGGTGGAACCTGGATGATCATACGCCAAGTTATACGGATGCAAGCCTGAATGTAGTCCTTGAGTTGAAACAGCATACGATGGGAGAACGAAAATTTACACGATTTTTCCTCGGTGAGCCATGATACCCACTTATCCATGATTTTTTTCCGAACGCCCTGGAAAAAACGCGATACAATACCAAATACATGCATATGTAAAACCAGGTTTACGCTGGCTTTTCAGACGAATTACGTCAACGGCTTTTGATCGAGAATACATGTTCTTCAAAGTTAAAATATAAAATAGAATCAGGGTTTGCTCTTTTTTGCGTGTAATAGAAAAGCCAAACACGGAAAATACACTTGGTCTACTTTGCAAACTGGAGAGCTTGTTGTGTGGGAGCCTTAAGGTGATTCCTCAGCTTTGTATTGTACCCCAGGCACCCCGCATAAAATTCAAGTAATCAGTGAAATGAGCGCGCGCGAATTCCGAGAGCATGAAATTGTTTTTTCAATCACTGGACGAGATAAACAGGTATGATGGTATTTTGCCATCAACGAGCAGGGTAACCTATGCCTTTTACTGCATAATTTTGTTGTACAAACAGGATATAGCTAAAATGATGCACAAGGCCCGTTTCTCGAGGATGCAAGTTATGACCCTGAAAGCAATGACTCGATGGGTCGTATCAAGACGACCTCAAGACAATTATTAAATCGGCTCGCATCAACAACTGCGGTAACCCTTTGCATTCCAATGTTCTTAAGTGTTTATGCGAAAAACGTTGTTAAGTCGGGTCAATCCCCTTGTCTACTGACCCTTGTTGAGAGTCGAGTTGACGAGGCCGAAAGGGCCGGGACTTTTAGGAGCCACTGACCGTAAATATCGAGATTCCGCCGACAGTTGCAAAATTTCGTAATTCATTTTATTTTTTCTAAAGGACCCTTTTCATGAACCTTTTTCGAAAATTATATCAAAAAGTTCTATCGCGCTTTTTTTTCCTCCGAAAAATCGAAAAGTTCAAAATACGTCTACATGGCCGTTGTCCCCCCCCTGAAAGCAATGAAAAATTATGCAACTTCGGCAACTTCGTAAGCTACAACGCGATGCAATCCCGCTTTTAAATTTTTTGTGCTGACAGATGGTCCTTTTATCTCTTAGAAATTATTAATTTCTTGTTATATTGTTACGTTTGAGTCTGAACGAGTGACCTGTTGAAATAAAGTACCTCGCGTCTCTTTCGCGGTGGTAAAATAAAGTTCAAAGTTTAAAATAAAGTGGGCTATAAACAGGTCTGCTATATATATTTTCAAATCATAATGTACATCATCTTCAAGTTTTATCCTTTTATTTTCATTCTCCAATTCTCTATCTTGGCCCGCCATAAGCGGCACGTCCAGGTTTACAAGAGTTTGGGCTATTTTGTCAATTTTGCGATGCGAACCGCTGAACTGCTGTCACGACCCATTTAAAGGCCTTTAACAAGGTCTTGTATGATATATTTACAACCCAAAATATATGTCATCTTAAAGTTTTATCCTTATAGTTTAATTCATCAAAGTGTCTTTCTTGGCCCGCCATAGGCGGCGCCTCCAGGTTTCAAAGAGTTCGGGCTAAAAAATGACAAAAAATGTAATGCGGTCTGTTGAACGGCTGTCACGCAAGAGGTCAAGGCCCGTCTCTCAGCTTGAGAAGAATGCACCAAGTACATGACCTCTTGCGTGACAGCCATGCAGCGGATCGCATTACATTTTTAGTCATTGTACTCCGAACTCTTTGAAAGCTGGACACGCCGCCTACGGCGGGCCAAGAAAGAAACTTAGAGGAATCAAACTACAAGGACAAAGCTTAAAGAAGATATATATTTTGATTCGTAAATATATCATACAAGACCTTTTTAAAGGCCTTTAAATGGGTCGTGACAGCTGTTGAGCGGTTCGCATCGCAATTTTGACAAAAAAGCCCAAACTCTTTTAAACCTGGACGTGCCGCTTATGGCGGGCCAAGATAGAGAATTGGAGGAATGAAAATACAAGGATAAAGCTTGAAGACGATGTACATTACGATTTGTAAATATAAAGGGCTCTGAGAACATCTGACAACAAAATAGCACTATAGAAAGTTTCTTTTGCGAAAGGACCATGCACAAATAACAACAAGGATCTCCAAACTTTTATATATTACTAAATTTTATGCTAAATTTTTTATTTCTCAGTTTCTTTCTAATTTCAAACTTCATTAGTATCACTGATCTTATCTATGGAATTCATGCGGTTTTATCGATTTATTAATTTTTATATTGTGATTGTAAATTGTTTTGATAACAGCAGGTCCACATCAGCTATTTTTAGCTGCCTTAATTTAACCTGCTATACCAAATAAAGTGTATGAATGTATGTATGTATGTATGTATGTATGTATGTATGTATGTATGTATATATAGCAGACCTGTTTATAGCCCACTAAAGTTGACCTTTATTTTCACACCGCGAAAGAGACGCGAGGTACTTTATTTCAATGGGTCACTATTCAGACTCAAACGTAACAACATAACAAGAAATTAATAATTTCTAAGAGATGAAAGGACCATCTGTTAGCACACAAAATTTAAAAGCGGGATTGCTTCGCTTTGNAGAGCGCTGCACTAGTATCGCAGAGGTCAGTGGTTCGAATCCCGTACAGGCCTGATTTTTTTCAGGTCTGATTTTCGCTATTGCTTAAATAGCGCTATCTACTGCGAGGATCGTGCATCATACGTATCTAATACCGCAGTTCAAAATATATGAACTTCATATATTTCATTGTATCTGATTTATCACTTTCACGGGTTTATTACGAATCAACTTAACGGCCTGCTCCCAGTTGGCTTGTTAGCTCAATTGGTAAGAGCGCTGCACTAGTATCGCAGAGGTCAGTGGTTCGAATCCCGTACAGGCCTGATTTTTTTCAGGTCTGATTTTCGCTATTGCTTAAATAGCGCTATCTACTGCGAGGATCGTGCATCATACGTATGTTCTTTTGATCTTGAAATTCATGAGAACGATTCGACGAACGAATAAGGTGTTGAGTAGGTCTAAATCAATTTTTTTATACTCAGTGACGTACATTTAGCAGGTGTAAATAAGAAGAGGCTGCTAACCAGCACATCATCACAAATCACCGCCTCAGATTTCCAATAAAAAAAAAAAAACAGACGTTTAACTAAATTCTGGAGCAAGTCATCAACAACTGAATTCAATTACAAACACGGTAATTAAATGATCTGTCTCGTCATCAACCAACAATCACATGCCTTATGCACTAGAACATCTAGGAGATTGACGAAAGGTATCGAACGGGGGCCAAAATAAAAGAATCAGCAATCAGTAAGTTGCTAAGATAAATGGATCTATCCCTTAAATTAGAAAATTATCATCCTCCTCCTTTATTCACTCGCTCGCCAGTCCATACTGTACAGGCAAGTTGAGAATTCAAAACCTAAAGCAAAGTAATCCCACTGAAGGCGGGGAGAAGAGATCAAGACAAAAATAAAATAAAAACATAACATTCACTGTGATTGAAATATATTTTATCTTCTGAAAACAAAACCACCACAGGGGCGAAAAGAAAAAAAAAAAATGATATATTAGACCACTAACTGACCATGATACCCGCATCCACATCATTATGAGGGTTTGCGATGCTTTTAACTTAAAGGACTCTGTAAAAGAAAGCCGATTGATATCATTGCGAACCCGCAATATGTTATGAATACTGGTCGGAGGATTCGTTGGTGCGACAGTTGTCATTTTAATATCTCAATGTGGATGTCCGCTTTAACAATAATGCAGAAATGAACGATTGGTAGAGATGAACGATTGCATTGAAGGCTTATTACGCTAAGAACAAAGAGCTATTACATTTAGGACATTATTACATGTAGGACCAAATGTTATTATAATTAGGACTTTGTTACACTTAAGCCATCTACAAAATCTTTGTATTCTCTCATTTTCGATGCCTCGCGAACAATTTCAGCTCTCTCCAATGAAAAAGCCAATATGCAGTAATTTTTCAGGTATTCAGACGGTTTGAGCCCTCATTACAAGCCGAATGAATTTAGGTCGACGACCGTGCAGAAAGTGAAAGACCGTGAAAACGAAGTTAGTAAGACATTTTAATGTATCTTTGAGATCAGATAAGGAGAATTCTACTATGAAAGTAACATACCTTCTCCAAGGACTCAAGGCTGCAGAGGTGTGCAGTTTCTTTCAAGGAAAGCACGAGAGCATCTACAACCTCAGTCGGGTATTTCATTTCCTGGCGGCATGTCGGCATCTTGAAATTGACTCTGTATGACAATTGCTTATTCTTGACCATTGATGACAGAAGAGTGAAATAGATAGAAATTAAACTAAAAATAATATCTAACGGCATTAGATATTATTTTCTGACGTTGGTTATATTCCTTTGTAACCCACTCATTTAGTTTTGCGCGATTCAGTTGGCTACTATACGTCAGGTGGTGCGACTCTATTGGCTACTTCCCGTCACTTGGTGCAAAGTCATTGGACAGTTTTGGCGCAATAACCCCGTCTACGTCGATATTTGTCCTACAATTATTTCCGTTGAAAGAAACAAAGCCAACGGAAAAAGCCAGGTCATAAGTCTCATTGTTTCATCTTTTTTACCTTACATAAAAGAGAAAAAACTCGGTTTTCAGAGTCCAGTGATAGTGACCTTTAAAAAAAGCTGACCTCAAATACAGCTCCAGTAAATCCGGAAAGTACAAAAAGAACCAATAAAATTTGCTGTCAACGCGCGGTATGAAAAGTAATGGAAGATTACAAGAATAGGTAACAACATGATGTTGAGTGCAATTTGATGCTACTAAGCAGGAGAAAATTTTTCCAAGGCAAAAAAATAGCTCAAGCCATCGGGCGAATACAGTTTGAAGTCTTGGCACAAATATACAAGTGCTTACTAGTACCAAATTGCACGAGAAATATGTTGTTACTTATTAATAATTTACATGAAAAAGGCATAACAGAAAGTCAAGACACGTGACAACCTGACAGCGCACTCACGATAATTGTAATTTGCACTCGTGTTACGACTTTGCACTCGAGTTTCATGAAAAACTCACTCGTTTTAAATCGATCTGAGGCGCGTAATTTTTTTCAAGTACATTTTTAGATAGATAGACCCCCGCGTAATTTTTTTCAAGTACATTTTTAGATAGATAGACCCCTTTCTGGATTGGATGAAAGATTGTCCTTAAAATTTTACATTTCCCTCGAAGCTTTGCTTCGGCTAAATGTTCAATTCTCGGACAATCCCTCAGCCGTGGACATTTTCAGCCGACAAACCAGCCACCTGTAGGGGTTTGTATGCAAGATTGAGTAAGGGTACTGAGTAATCCAGTTCATTTTTTCCTGTGAACAATTAATGTAACATTTTTTTTTTCTTTGGCAGGGTAATCGCAGGGACGTGGATGAATTTCAAAGTTTTGTTTTAGAAGTTTTTCAAATAAATAATAATGGAACACCAGCCGAAATCTTAAAAAAAGTTTGAAAACCAATCATAACATCAACAAAAAAAAAACCAGAAAACACGAAAAGCTCGAGCAGTTCACGCGAGTTAATTTTATATTATCGTATTCTTAACAAAGTAGCGTTCTAAAGCTTCCGCGATAGCGTAAGAATTATTGCATACCTTTTCCACAGACAAATACTTTTGTCCTTGTTCCGGAGCTTCTTCAATCATGATATTAATTATTTCCTTGAAAACATGAAGTGCTGACTCTTTTACCTCTATCGTCTGTTCATAGGCCGCCTTTCAGGAAAAATGTCATAAATATAATAAAGTTTGATTGGATGGGCCACGACGATGATCAGCCATAACTGGAAAAATTGAAAATATTGCTGCTTTTCAACAGTTAAAAAAAGAGAAGTACATTTTCTCGATTCTTCTCACCTCAAGTATGATGCAGGCCAGTCGAGGGTAAGAGATACCGATGTCGCTCTCCTCCTCAGATCCATAGACTTGTTGCATTTTATCAATCGCATCCATTCTCTCGTTATCAAAAAATTCCTTGAAGTCATTTTCCACTTCCGAGGGCCTATTAGCAGCAACAGTGTTTTCAACTTTTCTTTGATCCTTTTTCATCAGATTTTCACTGAGATGAGCAAGCCTTAGAAGAAAGCGGAAAAAGCAAGCTTAGAAAAAAAATAACCAATTTCTGTTGCCTCTGCGTTGTTTAATTGCAACATCCATTGTCCATGACAACCAGTCGCAATAGATTGGCAAAATTTGTTTGGGATGCATCAATATTCTCTGAAATTTTTGTCTCTACCAAATTTTGGGAAGCGCGTAATGATAACAGAAGACCGCCCCCCGGTTAGCTCAATGGATAGTGCGCTGGACTGTTGTGCGGGAGGTCGAGGGTTCGAGCCCCGGTCGGACCAACACTCAGGGTCTTAAAATAATTGAGAATATTTTGCTGCCTTTCTATAACATCAAGTAATGGTTAGATATTCTAGTCTTCTCGGATAGGGACGAATAAATGGAGGTCCCGTCTCCTGCAGGGTTAGGGTAGGAGACGTGAATTTTCCCATACACGAAATTAATGTGTGATGGATGTCCTCCCTTGGGGTGGGATGGGTGAGTTTACTGGGCCCGCAGTAATCGGCGCAAGCTGTTGCGGTGTCCCTGCCGGTTGGCGAAGCTAAATAAATCTAGAAGAGTAAGAAAACGAGGGAAGTTTGAGTCATTTATTATTACGTTAGCCTGGAACGGGATCGGGTTTAATTTCTTCCGCTCTCTCTCCATCTGAGATATTTGTTAGAATTTCGTATACCTTGTATCATTTTACATATAGAAAGCACATGAGAGAACTTGGATTCGGGCAAACAATGTTTACTCGCAGAAACCTTGGGAAAGTTGTATGATTAGTACAAGTGATTAGGTTATATTTAAGTCTGGTAAACGAAATTCCAGTAGACGGCTGCAGTTATTGTGCGCGTGGATTTGCTAAGAGAACTGAGTGGATAATACGGAATCCAATATGGCTAAACAATTAGTGTTCAGAAAGTCAGAAACATGATTTGCTGTAAAAAAAAAAAAAGAATAGCTATGAATGGAGGAGGGGAGGTTTGAATTGCAGTATGCATCTGACCGGGAAGATCACTTGTGCCGCAAATCCTAAATACCTCATTGTCAGCTCCCTCAGCTCTTGATCTTTACTTTCCCAAAGAGCTTTGAATTTTTCTTTCTGCTCATTCTGCCTATGAGAAAAAAGGAAGAAACGAAACTGAACAAGAGGTAAAACCAAGCAACAGATGAAGCGATTTGAAATCCAATTTTTCCATTCTTTTCATTTTGAGTACTGCAGTTCCAAAGTAATCTTGGTTTGGGATGGCAGAAGTCATTTAATTGCAGCCTGTAACACAAGAATACAGCTTAAGCCAAACCCATCTCTGTCGTTTGCGTAGAAATTAAGTCTAGACCTTGGATTTGTTTATGCTTAATACCCTAAGAGGCACTTCACGTTTTAAACTACGACTAGAACGAGCTCTCTGGGGAGGAAACAAACACATCTGATGTAAAAACAAAACAAAACTCATTGAGCCTGATTTTTTATTAGAAGAACTAAGTAAAACACTATCAGTCTGTCTTGATAATGCAATGGATGACTCACTTGCGCCTCTTGATTATCATTTATCTAAAAACAAATCGAACCACTTTCAAATTGGTTCCTTGAGGGCTTAATCTAGAATATACCTTCTACATTTAAATGTCGCTCTTCCGATTACGTTCATTTCTCATTCCTTATTTACTCTTTATTTTTTGTATTATTTCTTGTCTGCTTGTTTGTATAGTTAGACAAGTTCCACTGATGTAACACCTCTTCATCACAAGCCTTCTTTAAATTGCTGCGAGTTCGTGAAAAAGTTCATCAATTGATAAGAACAGATTACCTGCATTTTAACTGATTCAGCTCTTCATTTCTTGCGGAAATTATCGACTTGGCCTTCTCTTTCATGTCATGAAAGCTAGAGATTGAAAGTCAAAAGTAATCACATTTTAGTAATCGAAAACTATCCCTACGAAAGAAGTATAATAGAATGCGTATGAAAAGGGAAAATTTTTTACTTTAATTTTACTTGGTTCAATTCTTCATGTTTTGTGTGAATTTCTCTGTCCAAACTCTCTTTCATTTGATGGAAGCTGGTGAATTCAAAAATGAAAAACTGACATTCAGCAATCATTAGGCGCTCTGACCAAATGATGAAAACTGATATGTGTTAAATATTCCTAGCTTGTCAGCCACCTGTACAGAACGTCTTATAAGAATTTTCCCTAGCTATATTACATAATTTCAAGTGTTAAGATTGGGGCTAATTTCTTTGTTCAAAATGCAAGTATGAAGAATAAGTACTTTTCAAATGAGCCCACCTTTTTGGGGCCAGTTTGACTGGTTTAAAAAAAAATTTCAAAGCGAAAACCGAGCTGAGATTTCATTGCTGTCGATCTTGGACTTTTCAAACTCGACTACTTAGGGTGATTTTGTATCACCCTTTATTATATGGCTATGTCTCACAAGGACTGGGAACTACCGAATTCACAAAGTTGATTGGCTGAAATCAATATTGAAAGCGGTCTAGATTTTCCCATCTAGACCGGCATCTAGACCGGTCTAGAAAAAAAAGTTACAAAGAATATAATGTTCCGTTGCTTTCTAGACACAGCCATATAATAAACATCTTATTAACCGAGCTAGGTCGGTCTGTATGGGAGAATCTTGACCTTGGTCGCTGATACAGACCTCACTGCGTTCGGTCTGTATTGGTGACCTCGGTCAAGATTCTCTCATACAGACCTCCCGCTCGGTTAGTAAGAACTAAATACTACGCAGAGAAATCACGTAATCAGGCGAATAAGCGCGCACGCATTCCGAGAACATGGTAATGTTTTTTTTTAATCAATGGACCAAGTAAAGAGGAACGATGGTCTTTAGCTCTTGGACGAGCACGGTGATCCATATATGACATTGCATGACTTTAGGTTACGAATTATCCCCTTTAAATTGAAGAAATTAAAAAGAAAATTATCGAAGGGAAAATAAGTAATCGTTACAAGCGTGCACGAAGCCCGTTACTAAATGATGTAAATTAGCTATCGTGGGTCGATGAAATACCGCCCGTGACTAGTGCCAGCACAGGCATAGTGGGGTAAGTTTTGCCCATCATATTTCTTAAATAAGCATAGTAACATTTCTTTCTTATTGTAGTTAAAATGAAAGAAAAATAATTCAAGTTCTTTTTTTCTTAGGAAGCACCTTAACCAGACAAGAGCGCTCATATGAGAAAGTTTACCACTACGGTTGTTGACATCTCGGTGCAAAAGCTGTTATAAGAGAAACCTGACCAGTGGGGAGGGGGACAGTGGGGTCACAGCCTCCCACTTTCCGTACCTCGTTCCATCGCCTCCCGTACTTTTGTGCTCCTCTGCCTCCCGACTCCCATCCTTCAATGTATTACTCCCACTTTCAGATTAATAAAAAAGGATCAGAAACCTGGGTTTTGGGAAAGCTGTGCCAAAATGTGTCATTCTTCACTGTCATTCTTCACAATTCATAGGCAGTCTTCGGTGAGTTTTATCAGCAAATGATCAGTCCACATTATAGATTTAATTTCAAACAGGAATCTTTTTAATAGTGGATTGATATCTCTGGAAAATATGGCAGCTCGCCGTTCACGAGAGTGACGAGATAAAATATCAACTTAACAATAAAGAACTAATGTTTATTGTACTAATTCATTTCCTTTCCGAAGATTTCTTAATAGGATTATCTTCCTTATTCCGTACTATTTAAAGAAGTTAAAAGAATGTCGTTTTGACAAAAATTTTCGTTCCCATTTTTCGAAACGGCCAGTAACTTTGCCACGACCAATTTCGTTTTCAAATTATTTCCAAATGAGTTTATCCTGGGAATTGCCCGCAAAAAGTCATAGCAAAGGAGTCAAGAAAGTTGACTTCAAATCATTCGAAAATGAACAAAGAAAAAAATTATTGATGGACGAAAGGAAAGATAAAATAGAAGAATGGAGAAGCTGATTCAAATACTTAACCTGATGCGTGTGGATTATTCAAGACGAGGAAGACGAAATAAACCATATTTCGAAAAGTTCACACCCTATAACTTAAAACTTAGAAAAGTTACTTCAAACTCACTTGGGTATTAGTACTAGAGTATATGACGTTCACTAGTTGCAACCAGATATTACGAATCACTCAAATCATGAAAGGGGCTGAAATAGGCGAAAATAGTTCTAAAAGGCAGACAAAGACCTCGCAGTTTACGAAAATGGAACCTTTTGCCAATTTTCCGCTCCTGTTTTGGTATGTTCTTTCTTCGATGTCAATTGAAAACGACCCTTTTTAAAAGGAGTGAAGCAATGCTCAACAATTTTTAACACTTTTCAAAACCAGTTTCACCCTACCCATTCCACTTTTCATAGAATATCAGTATATCTTTCGGCCATGATTGCCACATTCTTGATTGTTACATGCGCCCTTGGCCTGATGAAAATTGATTCAAAAACTGATTCAAGCCTACATAAAAATTCTATAGCGAGAAGCGGCGGTTTTTCTAAGAAAGGATTAGCAGTACCATCGAAAAATCAGCAGTTACTCTGAGTTATTTTTCACGACAGCAGAAAGTTCCTGAAACTAACCGAAAAGAAGTTAACGGAAGTGAATGACACCTGCTTCATCATGTTTTGGTTCCTCGAGGACTTCTGTTGCATGTATACCTCAATCATGTTACAAAATTGAACTGCTAAGTTACTGCTTCTCAAATCCGAAATCTAATTAGGTTAAGTTCTCACTGCAAAATCTAGAGATATACTTTGCCATAAGCTGCTAATGTATATTTTCATGAGGAACATAGACCTTCTTTATGTCCAAAACTTGCTAATTAATATTTTGCGTCTGTACAGATTTGTTCTGAGATCATAAGGTTTAAAGAAGAAAAATAAAAAGACATTGAAGGCATCAATAACATTATAGGGTCCGTCTTGGGTAAATAAGGTCCTTCTTTAGGCCTCTTCTGGAAATAAATTTCGAGTGAAGATCCTGAACAGCGTCTCCGTAATAAGCTAAAGAAAGGAATAGCTTCGTTGACAAGTCACTAAATGTAAAATTATCTTCGCAATTGCAAGTATATATCGGTGAACGGTATTAACTAAAACTGAACCTGAAAGCCACCCAGTAAATGAAGGATTTAGCAGAATGAAATGCGAGAGTAAGTAATTTCATACTGGCTCCACTGTTGTATTCATTTCCCTGATATTCACCTGTAGTAGTACAGTAGATGCATTGTTAAGAGAAAAACAATAAGGTCAGTCAGTGGTACCTTTGCTTCAGTTCTTTCAGCTCTTCATCCCTTTCTAAAATTGTAGCTCTAAACTCTCCTTCCATTTTCTTAAGCCTGAAAGATAAAAAACATGATATTATCATACTGCGGATGAACACTTAGAAGCATTAAGATAAAAGAGTACAAGTTGTGAAATTTTTATGCGAGAACAGATATACCAGCGCCTACAACCTACTCACTGTGAGGAGACTAGTAATACGATTGTTCTCTTTTCTTATTCAGGCCATGTTAAAAGTTCATCTCCATCAATTTCAAAAGGCGTCTTCCATTTCCAGTTTCAGCTTTTCTTTATAATGACGTCCAAGTTAAGCAGAAACCACATTTTTAGAAACAGCATCCAGAGTGAAGCAAAATAAAAAGGTTGGCTCAGCTTGGCGTAAACTGTGCAATCTACGTATGGCACACACTCATACCTTTCAGAGTCCTCCTGCCCTACATTGCTAGTTTTATCAAAGACAGAAAGAGTTCGTGTCAACAATATATATGTTTAACTCAAGAAAAAAAGGCAAAAGTAAGCATTAATACTTTGAGTGATACGTAAGAACGTATAAGAAGATGTAAATATATAATGCTTCAGTTTTGGTTTTAGCAATTTACCTTCATTCCTAAGCTCTCCTAAGAAACATACACGACCACGTGAATGAATATTACTTCTTGGACATCAAAGAACTTTTAGCGTGATTTTGGATTTCTTATCACGATATCGACAAATTCTTTATCAAAGACGATGAATTTTCCCAGACGCCAGCAACTAGCCGGCTTGGCCCTTACGCCTGTTTGGCAAGCTTTTCAACAATCATAAAGAACCAAACAGGAAACAAGACACCCAAGGCTACAAACTACGGAGCTCATTAAAGAAGCTTGAAAGGCGAAACACGGCAACTTGCTGTGGCATTAGAGAGGTAGATCCATGATTACCGTGGCAAATATACAGTACGTCGTATTTATTCGAAAAATTATCTATTTGTAAAGACGTTGCCGTAAGAGAGGAGACTTACTCTGTCATAGTTGATACTGTTTGTTTAGATATCGGTTGATTTTCAATAGAAGTTACTCTGTTGATAAATTTGGCAACAAATAATCAGTAAATTCCAATAGAATTTAAAATTGGTTGAAATGGCTGATATCCCATACTTTCTTTTGTAGACATTATTATCTCTTGGTTTCCTAGCGAAAAAATTGTACCAGGGAGTTCGAGGCTGGTTGCTCTGTTAAAATTTTACAATCCACCAGTAAATTCTTGATGTAAACTTATTTCTCAGTTGTCGAGTTTTTTAAGGCCAATTCTGACTAGGGGTGATAGCTATTTCTTTCCTTTGAGTTTAGTAAACCTTCAAGCCAAGCTATCCTGGTGATCCCATCTCACATTAAGAATTTCATTCCTTTTTCTCAGTTTCTAAGACTTCGCCGATTATGTAGTGATGACTCTGATTTCCACCACAAATCAGAGTCAATGCGCCAGTTTTTCGATAAATGTGGTTACCCTGTTTCTGTCGTTCAAGTGGGTTACCACCGCGCCCAACTTATTGATCGACATTCAGCGCTACAAACGTCACAAAAGGAAGACTCCGACCGCATTCCATTCACTCTCACGTTTCACCCTCACAACCACTCAGT